GACTCCACAGCACACCACCACCACCACCACCACCACCACCACATTCATTTGATTTGGCCTTCACAACAATCCTCAGATTCAGAATCTTAAGAATAGAAGATGGCCTGGCAAAGCTGGGCTTTAAGCCCTCAATTTGTGATTCTAAGTGCAGTGTTTCAGCCAATTCAGTGCAGTCATTAGAGCAGGCCATGGGTTCAAATCTGGACTCTATTACTAGCTATGTGATCTTGGTCAAGTCACTAATCTGTGTATAAGTCCAAAGTGGGGTTAATAGTAGCACTTACCTCATCGATGTGTAAGAATCAACTGAGATGATGCATGTAAATACCACACAGAGCTTGTGAAACAGTTGTAATTTATACTCTATATAGCTCTGGTCTTACATGTTAACAGGGTAACATGTCTGATGCCAAATATTGTGCTCTTTCCACTGCTCTCAGCTCCCTCTTACTGGAGTAATGTATGATGCAGGATATTCTATGCAGATCTTGCCTAGTCTGTATCTTGATTCTGCTAAATGTCTGCCAACCCTCCCTCATCTTCCCTGACAAGCACATGCTCAGCCACACCAAACCGCTAGTGGTGCCCTGAAAGCACTGGACGGTTTCTTTCCTCTCTTGTCTTTGCTCATGCTGCCTCCTCTACATGAAATGCACCTTAGTCAGCTCACTTCTGTCCACCAGACAATCACTCATTTTTCAAGATTAAACATTAAGTCAAACCTTTCTTTAGCCAACTCCCACCGAGTATAACTCACTACCACATCTTTATGCCTCTTCTGTAATTACTTCTATCAAGTCATGTTTCAATGGATTACTTGTCCATGCACCTTTCCAAGGCTGACTTGTCAACCAAACCCTCCCATGTACTTAACTAATTACTTCAGCAAGTCTCCCCACTTTCTCTGATAACACCAAATTTTCTCTTCTGAATCACCGTATGCTGTTAATACTTCCATCTGAAATAAATCAACCATCTTTTGCTCCACTTTCTTCTCTAATGTTTGCTTTATTTCTCTGTTCCCCTTAAAGCAACATTTTAAAAAGTTGCTTATTTTTGCTATCTCCAATTCCTAACTTCTTAGTATCCTAAACCCACTCTGTTCAGGTGTCTACCCTACCACTGCCCCAATCAGGATCACCAATGCCCTAAGGAAGCTAAACCCACAGTCATTTTTCAGTTCTCGTCTTAACTCACTGATCACCAGCATTTGACCCAGTAGGTCATTCCTTTCCAGTATGCCCTGGAAATGCTTTCTTTGCTTACCTTCCAAATCACCTCACTTTTAAGTTTTCATCTGCCTCACTAGTTCCTCTCCTTTCTGATCTCCTAGAGTGCCCAAGGGCTCAAATCGTTAGAGCATTTTCCTATCTATACTCTCTCCTTGGTGATCTCATTCTCTCTCACTGCTTTAAATACTATCCATAGACTGAAGACTCTCCACTCGAAACCTCTTCCCTGTGCTGGCTGCAGAGAAGGTAGTACCCTCAACGGTCTACTCAAGCTGGACATACCACAGACCTCTCCAATTTAACATATTCTAAATGGACTCCATAGGAGCTCTGGTAGCATAGTGGCTAAAGCACTTGACTGCTAACCAGAAGGCTGGCGGTTCAAACCCACCAGCCACTCCTTGGAAGGAAGGTTGGGCAATCCTACTTCCGTAGTGATACTGCCTCGGAAACCCAAGGAGGGGTCGCTATGAGTCGGGGCCGACTCGATGGCACATAACAACAACAACAACAACAAATGGACTCCCAGTATTTTCCCCAAAATCTGCTCTACCTACCACTTCAGTTAATACAACTCCACCCTTTCAATGGCTCAGCCCATAATATTTAATATCTGACTGCTCCTTACCATCTCCACTGCTAACACCTTGGTGATCTGAGCCACCACCATTTTTCATCAAGATGACTGGCTCTTAACTGTTCTACTTGCTTCTACCTTTGCTCCCCTACTGCCTGTTCTTCCTGTCTAAGAGCATGAAGATGCCAAAGTGATCTTGTTAAAAACAGGTCACCATATTATTCTCCTGTTCAAACCCCTGCAAAGGTTCTCTTTCACTTAGACTTTTAGCCTCTAAACAGCCTCTAACGCTCCAAAGGTTCTTCCTCTCCCATTACCTCTCTGATCTTTCCTACCACACTTCCCTTACTCACTCTGTTCTACCCACATTAGCAAATTCATTCTTTCAATCACATTCCCATCTCAGAGACTCTGCACTAGTCCTTACCTCTGCCTGGGATGCTCATCCTACAGATAATACCTGGCTCTTTTTCTTACCTCTAAGTTACAGCTCAGATGACATTTCATCAGTCTGTCCTGATTATCCCATTTAAACTTGCAACGTGACATGCCCCATCTCCACCTTGGCACTCCCAAGTCCTCTTAACTACTAACTACTCAGTTGTCAAGTCAATTTTTGACTCATGGTGACCCCAAGTATTTGAAAGTAGAAGTGCTATTCCATAGGATTTTCAATGGTTATGATCTTCAGTAGATTACCCAGGCCTTCCTTCTAAGGCACCTCTGATAGATTTGAGATGCCAATCTTTTGGTTAGTAGCTGAGTGCTTAATTGTGTGTACCACCTAGGAACTCCTTAAGCCCTCCCTCCCACTAGCTCTCATTTTTTCAGAGCACTTATCATCAACCCTAAGGACCTCTGATGGCACAGTGAGTAAGGCATTTGGCTGCTAACCAGAAGACTGGCAGTTCAAACTCACCAGCCACTCTGTGGGAGGAAGATGAAGCAATCTACTCTCTATGAAGAGTTACAGCCTTGGAAACCCTATGGGAGTCACTACGAGTTGGAATTGACTCAATGGCAGTGGGTTAGGTCTAGTTTTATCATCAACCATGTTGTTGTTGTTGTTATGTGCCGTCGAGTCAGACCCAACTCATAGCGACCCCTCCTTGGGTTGCCGAGGCAGTATCACTATGGAAGTAGATTGCCACATCTTCCTTCCGAGGAGTGGCTGGTGGGTTTGAACCGCCAGCCTTCTGGTTAGCAGTCAAGCGCCTTAGGCACTACGCTACCAGAGCTCCCATCATCAACCATAGTATATGCTTATTTGTTATGTTTGTCTGTTTTCCCTACTAGAATATAAGGTCCAGTAACTTTTGCTCATTTTATTGAAAAAAGCACTGTTAGCTCTTAGAACAGTGTCAGGTGTTCAATAAATACTTACACTATAATATTCCATTGCACTTATTTACAAACCCGACTTGATGGCAGTTGTGTTTGGTTTTGGGATTTTTTTATTTATAAACAAGACTACCTTCTGAAGCTCCCTGTGAATAGGAAAGGTATATTTTTCTGGACCCTTAAGTGTTTGTTGACTAAATGAATAATAGCCTGTGTGAAAACAATGAGGTGAAAATGAACTGGCTGTGTTTGAAGCACCCAACCAGAAACCAAACTCACTGCCATCGAGCCAATTCTGACTCATAGCAACCCCTACTGGGTTTCCAAGGCTGTAAATCTTTACAGAAGCAGACTGCCTCATCTCTCTTCCATGGAGTGACTGGTGGATTCAAACCACTGACCTGGTTACCAGTCAAATGCCTTAATCACTACACCACATCACAAGCAAAGATTCTTTGTTTGAGGCACAGGGGTGAAAAATCATTAGGTATAGCAACAGCCCATGTTGAAGAATCGAAACAGATGAGAGTGAAATGGCTTCAGGATAAAATGCAGTACCACAACAAAAGAGCTTAGTTGTAGAAACTGAACCCTATATAATGGGCAACAAGGAACTCTTACAATTGTCACTTCTTTAAACACATTTAATGACATGTTTAGTGGGATTCTATGCTCTGAAACCTCTAACCTGTGGGACTGTGGTCTCCAGATTGTAGTGCTTATTCAGGAACTTCAGCAGCTTCTGTGAGGGTCGATCAATGGCCAGTTGGTGTGGTTCAACTCGCTCCTTCTGCAAGGAACAGGAGGCTTAGGATAGGAAGTGGAGGAGTGGGGACCATGGAGGGGAATAGAGGATATGGGGACATGGGAGTTCAGGGAGAGGCAGGAGCTCCAGAAGGATTCAGGCTAAAGGGGCCTTTGATCTCCATTTTGGATAGACTCTGGTAAAGAGGTAAATGATACCTGCAACATATGTTGAAAGAGTTCTCGCCCATGGCCATGACGTTGAACTGACTCATGGATATAAAAGTCCAAGATACAAAGTGGTTCTACCTCATTGTGAGCCTCACGATCATCCTAACAGGTAAAGAACAATAAATCTCTTTTAGGACCCAGTCATCTTTGCTGCCTCCCAACACTCCCAGAAACAAAATATATGAAGGACAAAGGATACCAGGACAAAGAGCTTCTTGTATCCAACTTTGAGAAAACCGATAATGGCTCCTTTTCCAGCCCTGCAGGATGGGGAACATAATGAACAAACTAGTAGCAGTTATTTAGAAGAGGTTGAAGGAAGGGTTGGGAGGAAGAAGGAATTAAGTATGGAATAGAAGAGTATTTGGCACTCACGGTCGGGCTGAAGTGTCTTTGAGCACATACATGACATGGCGGTTACTCTGCATCCTCGATGCACTGGTGATGGGAGCAGGAAGGTGCTGGGCCTGCCAAGAAAAAGACAGTTTCTGCAAGTTCCTTCCAAAGAACACTGTGCCTCCTTTTTCTCCTGACCCCAAAGAGCCCCCACACATACACTCCATCTCAAGGCTTCCCAGTACCTTGGCAGAAGCCTTGCCCAGTTCATCTACAATGGTCATAATTTGCTGCTGCAGGTCAACACTATAGAAAGAAAAGAGATAGTCAAATACTCACTGAATCAGAGGGTCCTGGGCAATCACTCGCTGGGACACAGCTCCAGCCCAGGTTCCGCACTTAAGGCTCCCTGCCTTAGAGTCTTCCAACTTAATTCTCCCCCTCACCCCTCTGACACTCAAACTTTTCCCACACCTTTTTCTAATGTGGTACACTCCCTCCTCCCTGGAGATAACTGGGGTGAAGCAGGAAGGGTCAACCACATCCTTTCGGTGGGACCACTTAATGGGGTGAAAGATCACAGTTCCAAGACTGATAAACCCTTAGGTCTAAGGTCAGAAGTCACCAAGAGCTGGTCAGGACATCAAAACGACCGGCTACTATTCAATGGGAGGGGGCGTGGTTCCTGGACCAGGTTTCAAGAGGGACGGGGAGAGAAGGGCCATGGGGCGGGTTTGAGATGTCACCGAGCCAGCGTTGTGGTTCCGGGTCGACGGGCCGGGGGCCGTAGGTGCTGATCCAGCACCGTGATCCGCTCCGGGAGCAGCGCGTCCACATCGAACGGGAACTCCATGGCCCATTGTGCGCGGGCGGCCCCGCCCCACATACGTCACTTCCGCCACGCCCCTCGGAGCCTTTATTTCCCGGGCTGGGCCCAGAGCACTCCCTTAGAAGGTCGTCTCCGCCCCTCCTCCTACTAACGTCCTGGCTGCCAGCCCTAGAGACCCCAGTTATTCTGCCAAGCCAGCTGTCCCCTTAGCAACGTCACCTCTCTGCCTCCCACGGTAGCGGGTGCCATAGCGACGCGTTTTTTCTCGGCCTGGTGGCCCCCTCTGCAGCCATCTAGCTCCTCAGGGAACAGCTGTGTATAGTGGGTGGAGGGGGGTCACAAAAGTGATCACGGCAGCGTCACAGTTGCCAATCCATGGCTGCTTCTGGTCCAAGGAGGGAAGGCCATGTGGTAAGCTGCTTCAAGCCTGACCTCTCCTCCCCCCACAGCACCACCCCATCCCTTTAGTTATGTGAAGAAAACAAAAACCAGCACTCCCAAGAACAGAATTTATCTGTAACTCAGCCTGAATCAAGTCACAGAGATAGGAGAGACAAAAGAGCTTTATTGTAGAAAGACTAAGTTGGCAAAAGTCTGAAACAGCAACAGAATGTTTAATCTATTTATTTACAATTGAATGGTTCAGGTTGCCCATACCCATCCATATAACCTTCCATTTATCCCCTTCAACAACAATCTCCCTAGGCCTGCCCCTTCCACAAAATAGTCAACCCTTCACACTGACATGTCCCATCATATAATTCCTGAGCACATCTCTCCTAGACCCTCAGTCTCCCCTCCCAATCTGTTGCAGTTCTATGGAGCTTTCTGGGGCTCCACCTGATCCACCGAGGAGGCTTCAGCTGGAGGTGTGGGGGGCACCACAGGCATTGCCTCAGGCGGGGGGCCACTCTCTTCTCGGAGATGGCCCTGGTAGAGCCGGCGGAGCCGAGACAGCTCTCTCTCTGGGGGCTGTTTCCAGCTGTACCATGGGTACCAGGGGTCTCCTGAAACCAGAGTGGGGGCTGGTGGAGTACTACTCACAGCTCCATGAGAAGTACTGAAATCAAGATCACGGGGTTCAACTTGGGGAATGTGGTAACTGAGGAGACCTAGAGGTAATTAAAAAAAATAATAAAGAGGGTGAGAGACAGGCAGTAAGAAAGCTGAGGTATAATGAGGGGCAAGGGGGCAAGTGTGGACTGACACAGCCTGGGCTCTGCCTGCCAAGCAGTGCGGCCCTGCACCAGGACTATGAAGCTGTGTCTGCCCTAAGGGGAAGGCCATTTTCTAGTTCACACAAAATGTGCCATTGAACCAACAGCCAGAAATTTATACAAAGATCCTCCTATGGTCTAGCTATGGCCTTGGTACCAGCAGTTATAAGAGGGAAGGGGAACCAAGAGGAAGAACAAGAGGACAGGGCAATGACATAGTAAAATGCAGTGAATTAGTTAATACTGCCAGTCTTTGAAGCTTCCATCAAATGACTGGGTGGAACTATACAAATGAAGTGCTTGTGGCTCACCAAGGGGATTAGACAGTTTGCTAATAATGCAAATAAGGTTCGTGGCACCCTTGTGGAGTGGGATCATGCAAAAAAGGTGTATAGCTCCCTAATAGGGGATTGGTCAGTTTTGCCAATCCTGCTAGGCTTAAAATGGGCAAGTGCCCAGAGGGACCATACTCTGCCAGCATGCCTCCTGCCTGAAAGTATTCAGCTCTCTAAATTCATGGGCTTTTGAGAAGCCCAGCATGCTATCTCCTGCCAGTCTCCTAGTTCTGCTCCCTCTGTTGCTGCCATTCCTCACTATCTTCAGTATTACAGTTCTCTGTGTCTCCTGAGCCTAGGAGGCTCTTAGTGCAGGGATTATAGTACCAAAGGATGTATGTACTCCACTCCTGGGGCTCTTTTCTTGATAGTAGTAAGGGCTTCCTGTCTGCCTCTCTGGATGGAGCAAGAGTTGAGAGCCTTCAGAATGAGGCAAAGTGGGGTACATTTTGGCACTTATTGGCAGAATTAAAGAACTTTGTAACACTCGCCCAAACAGGGCAGAGGCCAGACCAGCCCAAGAGGCCCAGAGAAAGGCCTGCCTATGAGCATGAATGATGCAGTGAATTACTTGGTATGGCTTTTCTAGTCAGTCTTTGTAACTCCCACTGGTCTCAGAGATGGGACTGTGCAAATAAGGTATATAGAACTCTGATGTTGGGATTGGTTAGTTGTGTCACTCTACCTGGCTCAAAATGAGCCTTCCTAGAGGCAGAAAGAGGGATCTCATTACCATCAAGAGAGAATAGCTGGAGGTAAGTAGAGGGTGTCCTTGGGCCCAAGATCCCTGCACTGGACCTCCTTGGCAGAGACATCCGGCAGGGAGAGACACCCTGGCAGAGAGACGGTCACTGTGGAATCAAGAGGCATGAGACAGAGCAGCAGGCTAACCTGGCCCACAGAGTAAGAAAGTTGAGTGCCCTTGGGCAGGAGGCTTGCTGACGGAGTGAGGTGTACCTAGGCGTACTATCGGCAGAGCTAAAAGAGCTTTGTAACAGTGACCCAAGCAGGACAGAAGCCAGGCCAAGAGGCCAAGGGCCAGAGAAGTATGTCTAAGGGCACAGCAGAGAGAAGACTGTCCTGATCAAAGAATTTTATCCTGAACATGTTCCTGAACCTGAACTGTAGCCTGTTACTCCCCTGATAAACTCCATAATTGTGAGTACTGTCTGTGAGTTCTGTGGGGCCATTGCAATGAATTATCAAAACCAGCAGAGAAGTAGTGAGGGCCGTGGGAGGGTCGGTTGGTATCAGAATTGGTAAAAGGCTGGAAGGAGGCGGCATGCCTGGCCTTGTAAGAATAAGCTTTGGGCTGCTGACAGTGACTCTGTCTTGTGAAGTTACAGGAAGTCAGAACATGCCGCCTCCATGCTCTTTTTGCAGCAAGAAAAGGCTGACCTGATCAAAAAATCATATCCCGAGTTCTTTCCTGATCCGGAATTATAACCTGTTACCCACCCACTGCCACTGAGTTGATTCCAACTCCTAGTGACCCTACAGAACAGAGTAGAACTGTCCCTTAGGGCTTCCAAGGCTGTTAATCTTTACAGAAGCAGATTGCCTCATCTATCTCCCAGAGAGTGGCTGGTGGGTTTGAACTGACGACCTTTTAATTAGCAGCCAAATGCTTTAACCATTGCCACCAGTAGAGCTCCTTTTTTTAACCTGTTACTTCCCTAACAAACCCCATAATTGTGAATATTGTCTGAGTTCTATGTGGCCAATGCAATGAACTATCGAACCCATTAGAGGAGTAGAGCAAACCTTGGTAGGAATAGACAATGTCAGAACTGGTAAAAAGTTTGGAGAGAGGATACGTCTGACCTCCACCTCACAGAAATCAATCTTCAACTGTTGATCCCCCCACCCTGTCCCACTAAGTTAGAGAAGGTCAGACACCCACCCATGCCATTTTCACACATAGTAAGTGTTTTGGTTCTCTAGTGCTGCTCTAACAGAACTACTACAAATAGATGACTTTCACAAACAGGGATTTATTTTCTTAGTTTAGGAGGCTAGAAGTTTAAGTTCAAAGTGCCAGCTGTAGGGGCTGGGTGCAGGCCCTCTGACTTTGGGCTTTAGCTCTGCCTCTTGCTCCTGGCCCACTGCAGCTGGAGGTTTCTCTTCACTCAGGCAGCTGCTGGCTGCTGAGGCTGACAGACCCAGGGTGGACAAGTACAATGGCACAGTCCCAAGATTATCAAACAACACGGCAGGCCACTAGTTCAACTCTAGAAACAATCCCAACATTGGCAAGGCCAGCAAGGCAGACTGCTGAATGAAGACTCAACTAAATGCAGGTTCCAAGCATGCCAAAAAGCTAGAGAGCTTTCTCAAGACTACTTCTTATATACTGGAAGCAGACCACATCCCTAAAGCAGCTACTCAGATGCTCACCGTAGATTCCACCATGGAGTAGATTTCCAATCTCATCATGGGGAATAATTACATCACACTGCCCAGCCACTCAAAACCAGGCCTAGCCAAGTTGACATATAACCTTAACTACCCCAGAAAAGGACCCAGGGGATGGGACAGCAGAGTGAGGGAAGAGATTCTAGTAAGAAAATAGAAAAGAAATAGGTAGTTAGGTGCTACCTTCTTGAATAAGAAGGAACATTTACATTCACCCTCTAGCTCCAGCTCACCATCTTTCTGCCTACCAGAACTACCCTGTATCCCCCCTTCCCATGCTCACCGTGATCCCTGGCTTTCTGAATGGCCTGGGTCAACTTCCTGTGCTGCTTCATACAGACTCCTGTAGGTAGGAAGAAAGAAAAGTATAGAGAAAGATAACTCAGCACTAGTTCTATAAAGCACAGACAACAAAAAAACAGACTACTGTTATATGGTAACAAAGGCTAGATTTTGAAAACCTGGCTCTATGCAATGACCCCATTTCTTTGACCCCTTCATGGGCTTCAGTCTGCCCATCTGCCTAATGGGGGAGAATCCTCCCTTTCTCTTTTGAAAGCTGGAGTACAGATTTAGGAGGGTCTAGCCACTATAGAAGAGGATGACTAAGTGTTATGGATTGACTTACGTCCCCGAAAAATATGTTGTAAACTCTAACCTCTGCCTATTATAATCCCCTTTAGAAAAGGATTGTTTCTGTTGTTGATAAGGCAGGACTAGTACAGCATGTATCTTGAGTTAATGTCTTTTTTTATTATTAGTGTGATTTGGGTGGAAGTTTACAGAGCAAATTCACTTTCCATACAGCAGCTCACATACACTGTCTTATGACATTGACCACCAAAATACAACAACTCCCCTCCCACTTCCTCCCCATAGTTACCTCTTCCCTGTGTCCCTCCCTCCATGCACTCCTGCCCCTTGAGCTGTCTCCCTGTGCACACACAGCCCTTCTATTCTCCCATGATTGTTCTCTCCGAGGAGTGTATCTACCTAATGTAAATGTTCAGCTCATATACCTGTTTTGTTTGGCTGGAAGCCACAGGAGTGGGTTCAATTCCAGACCTGAAGAGCAACTAGGGGCCATAGTCTCAGTGGTTCCAGAAGGTTCTATCAGACCAACAAAACTGGTCCTTTTTTTTTTTTTTTTTTAAATGAGTTTGAGTTTTGTTCCACATTGTCCTCCCACTCTATCCAGGATCTCCTACACAGATCCCCCTCCAAGTGGTTGACAGTGATACCCAGGCATCATCTATTTCTTTTGGTCTCATGGTCGTATAAACCGAGGACTGCTTGGTGTACCAGTTGCTTGGACTAACTGTTTCCATGAATCTTTGGTTTTCTTCATTCTTTGCTCTGGACAAGGAGAGAACCATCGTTACATCTAGATGGCTGCTTGTAAGCTTTTAAGATCCCAGTCACTGCTGGCCAAAGTAGGATGTGGAACAATGTTTTGTATAGCATGTTATGCCAAATGAGCTTGATGTCCCCTACCACGCAGATTTGACTACTGAGGCTGTATAGTAGGTTTTCATCTGGCAGTGTGAGACCTCCTACTTTGTTCTTCTTCAATAATGCTTTGCTTATCTGAGATCTCTTTTCTTTCCATATAAAGTTAGTGATTGGTTTTTCCATATCCTTAAAGAATGACGATGAGATCTGAACTGGGATTGCATTGAATGTATAGACTGCTTTGGGTAGAATTGACATTTTCACAATGTTAAATCTTCCTATCCACGAGCATGGGATTTATGTAAATCTCTTAAGGTTTTTTGAAGTAGTCTTTTATAGTTTACGTTGTACAAGTCTTTTGTGTCCCTGGTAAGATTTATTCCCAAGTATTTTATGTTTTTGGTAGCTATTGTAAATAGTATTGATTTCCTTATTTCTTTTTCAGCAATCTCTTTGCTGGTGTAGAGGAATCCAACTGATTTTTGGATTTTGATCTTGTATCCTGCCACTATGCTAAATCTCTCAATTAGTTCCAGTAGATTTTTGACTGAGTCTCTTGGGTTTTCTAGGTATACCATCCTATCATCAGCAAACAGGGATAGTTTGACTTCTTACCAATTTGGATGCCTTTGATTTCCCTTTCTTGCCTTATGGCCCTGGCTAAGACTTCCAATACAATGTTGAATAGAACTGATGATACAGGGCATCCTAGTCTGCTTCTTGTTTGCAAGGGGAGTGGTTCCAGTCTTTCTCTATTAAAAATAATGTTGGCTGTTGGTTTTGCATATATATCCTTTATTACTTTCAGCAATGTCCCTTCTATTCTTATTTTGCTGAGAGTTTTGATCAGGAACGGGTGTTGGGTTTTATCAAACGCCTATTCTGCATCGATTGATAGGATCATTTAGTTCTTTTCCTTTGTTTTATTTATGTGGTGGATTGCCTTGATTGTTTTTCTAATGTTGAACCATTCCTGCATATCTGATATTAACCCATTTGGTCATAATGAATGATTTTCTTGATATGTTGTTGGAGTCTATTGGCTAGCATTTTGTTGAAGATTTTTGCATCTATATTCATGAGGGATATATGGTCTGTAGTGTTCCTTTAGAGTGATGTCTTTGCTTGGTTTTGGTATCAAGGTTATGCTTGCTTCATAATAAGTTAGGGAGGATTCCATCCTTTATTATGTTTTGGAATAGTTTGTGTAGGATTGGTGTCAGTTCTTTTCTGAATGTTTGGTAGAATTCTCCAGTGAAACCATCTGAGCCAGGACTTTTTTTTGTTGGTAATTTTATGACCCTGTTCAATTTCTTTTTGTTATGGATCTGTTCAACTTTTCCATGAGTCTGTGTTAGTTTAGATAAGTGGTGTGTTTCTAGAAATCTGTCCATTTCTTCCAGATTTTCAAATTTGCTGGAGTACAGTTCTTCACAGTATCTTGATACTTTTTATTTCAGTTGGTTCTGTTGTGATGTTGCCCATTTTGTTTCTTATTCGTGTTATTTGTATTCTCTCTTTTCCTGTTAGATTTGCCAATGGTTTGTCAATTTTATTAATATTTTCACAAAACTAACTTCTAGTCTTGTTGATTTTTTCTGTTGTCTTTTTATTTTGTTTCATTGATTTCTGCTCAAATCTTTATTATTTCCTTTCTTCTGGTGACTATATGCTTTTCTTGCTGTTCTCATTGTCGGAGATATTGGTTAAAGTGTTGATTTTGGCTTTTTCTTCTTTTTTGATGTGTGTATTTATTGCTATAAATTGGCCTCTGATAACTGCTTTTACTGTGTCCCAAAGATTTTGGTATGTTGTGTTTTCATTCTCGTTTGAGTCAAGGAATTTTTTTAATTTCATTTTTTATTTCCTCTCTTTTCCAGTCTTTCTTGAGGGTGTTGTTCAGTTTCCATGTGTTTGTTCTTTTTCCGTTGATCTTCCTAGTGTTGATTTCTAACTTGATAGCATTGTGATCTGAGAAGATGCTTTGCAGTATTTTAAAGTTTTAAATTTATTAAGGCTTGCTTTATGGACTAACATATAGTCTATCATGGAGAATGTTCCACGTGCACTGGAAAAGAATGTATATTGTGCTGTTGCCGGGTACAAAGTTCTCTGTAGATGTCTATAAGTTCAAGTTGGTGGACTGTAATGTTTAGCTCTTCTGCATCTTTGTTGAGTTTCTTTCCACTTGTTCTATCTTTCATTGAAAGTCGGGTATTAAAGTCTCCTACTATGACTAAACAGAGTCATCTGTTTGCCTTTTCAACTCTTTTAAAGTCTGATTTATGTACTTTGGGGCACTTTCATTGGGCCCATAAATATTTATTATGGTTATATCTTCTTGTTCAACTGATCCTTTAATCATTATATAATGTCCTTCCTTATCTTGTATGGTGGTTTTTGTCTTATAGTCAATTTTATCAGAAATTAGTATTTCCACTCCTGCTCTTTTTTGGTTGCCATTTGCTTGATAGATCTTTGTCCAACCTTTGATTTTGTCTGCTTTTGTCTTTGTCTCTAAGGTGTGTCTCTTGTAGACAGCATAGTCATGGGTTGTTTTTTTATCTAGTCTGCAATTTTCCATTTTGAGTGGTGCATTTAATCCATTAACATTCAGTGTAATTATCAACCAGTATGAATTGGTTCCTGTCATTTTGTTATGCTTTTCCATGATGTTCCTAGTTTCTTTGTTCCATTTAATTTTCTGTACTGAGCTCCTTATGTTTATGAATTGTGTCATCATTTCCTTTGTTGCTATTGTTTTAGTATTTGCTAAATATTTGTGCTTGTCCTCTTTGTTACTGTGACATGAAGGTTCATTGTTTTTCTTTGAGGTTACCGTGTGACTTATAATTTTCTTCCCAAGTTTAGAAAAGTCCATCCTATCTTATAGCTCTCGACTTTCTTACCATTTAGAAGCTCTGTAACTACACTATTTTCCCTCTCTTTTTGGTTTGTAGTTGTTCTCATTTGCCAATTGATGTCTTTGGCTCTCTGTTTACAATCTTGTAAGAGTATTTTACTTTGGATACTTCCATAGCAGTGTTAGTTTCTGGGTTACATCATCTTGTATATTGATGGTTGGTGGTTGTTCTGGTTACCTAGTGCTGCTCTGACAAGAAATATACCACAAATGGGATGGCCGTAACAAACAGGAGTTTATTCTTACAATTTGGAGGCTTTAAATTCAAGTTCAAAGTGCCAGGTTCTAGGGGCTGGGTGAAAGCCCCTCAACCTTGGGGTCCAGCTCTGCCTCCTGCTCCTGGCCCACTGGAGCTAGAGGCGTTTCTTCACTCAGACAGCTGTTGGCTGCTGAGGCTGAGAAGCCCCAAGGTTGACGAGAAAAAAAGGCACAGTCCCAAAGTTACCAAACCACACAGCAGGCCATTAACTTAAGTCCATTTTAAGTCCCAAGGTCGGCAAAGCATAGGAGGCTGCTGAGCAACGACACGGCTACATGCAGGGTCCAAGCGTGCTAAAAGCTGAAGACCATTCTCAAAGCTTCTCCTTATATACAGGAAGCAGACTACTTACCCAAAGGCAGCTACTCAGCTGCTCCCAGTAGATTCCACCATGGAGTTGATTACCAGTCTCATCACGGGAAATACTACATCCAGCTGCCCAGCCACTCAACTAGGCCTTGCCAATTTGACATACAAACATAACCATCATAGTGGTTGTTTGCTGTTTTTGTTCTCTGTTCAAAAGCCGCTGTTTAGTGTATCTTGTAAGGTTGGTCTGGTTTTAACAAATTCCCTTAATTTCTGCTTATCTGCAAATCTCTTAATTTCACCCTTATATTTGAGGGACAATTTTGCCGAGTATATATTTCTTGGTTGGGAAATTTTCTCTTTTAGGGTTTTATATATATCATCCCATTGCCTTCTTGCCTGCATGGTTTCTGCTGAGAAATCAGAGCTTATTCTTATTGGTTGTCCTTTGTAAGTAACTTTTTGTTTTTCCTGTGCTGGCTTCAGGATTCTTTGTCTTCGGTTTTGATGAGTTTGATGATGATATGTCCTGGTGATTTTCTTTTGGGGTCTACCTTCTTTGGGGTTCACTGGACTTCTTGAATAGATATATTCTCATCTTTCATCATATCAGGGAAGTTCTCCCCCAAGAAATCTTGGACAATTTTCTCAGTGGTTTTATTTTTCTCTTCCTGTCCTGGAATTCCAGTGACACATAGGTTATTCCTTTTTATGGTATCGCACATGAACCTTAGGCTTTCTTCATTTTGTTTTGATCTTTTTTCTGATTGCTTTCCAAAGAAGTGTATTCAGGTATCTGTCTTCAATCTCATTAATTCTGTCTTCCATTGCATTAATTCTATTCCTTTGCCCTTTTAATGTGTTATCCATTTCTGAAAATTTAGTACTATCTTCTAGATTTCTATCTGTAGAGTTTGTATCATTTCTAATTTTTCATTTATTTTGTCATTTTGTTCTTGTAATTGCTTCCGAAATTGTTCTAGGGTTTTGTCTATGTTTTCCTTAATTTTTTTCAGTGTTTTCCTTCATTTGTCTCTCAATCCTTTGAAGGTACATAAATATAATTCTTTTGAATTCCTTTTCAGGGAGTTCCAATGCTGCTTCTTCCTGAAGGATATGTTCTGGGTCTGTATCCTGTTCCTTTGTTTCTACCATTTTATCTTGCTTCTTTGTGTGGACTGTGATGGTCTGTTGTCTCCAAGGCATTATGACATTGTCATATTTAGATCTCTGTTAACTGTTTGTGAAGACCAGTTAAGGGTGAGTAAGGCTCTTCTTCGTGGTCATTTATCATTGGTCAGTTGGTGGAGAAGGCAGTGTGGCTCTCACTCGGTAAGTGAAGCTGCAGGAGGTGCGGGTGTAGTTGTGTTGTATGGGCACTGTTGCTATCTCCTACTCAGACAAAAACAACAATTGAATAACCATCAAAAAAGTAAAAGCAAATGGACAAAAAATACACTGTGTAAACACATGAACAAACCAAACAAACAAACAACAAAAAACAAAAACTCCTACAATATCTGGGAAGAGGGCAATAAGACAAAAAATGTAGGGTAGGAGAATAATGAAAAAAATGTGAAAAATGCAAAAAGAAACACAAAGAATGGGGTTAGCTATGAGAAAGAGATAAATGGGAACAAGGAACAGGGAAGAGAGAAAAAGCTGAGAACTAGAACCTTTTCAGTCGTCAGCATCCAGAATTTCCTTGCGCTTCCTGGCAAGTGGAGCTTATTCGTTAAGTCCCTGGAATCTGGGAGAATGCTGTTGCTTTAAATATCCAAAATGGCCGAGCCACGTGTAAACATTCAAAATGGCTGTGTCCTCTGGACAGGCAAAAGTCCACAGCTCAGACCACCTTCCTCTTCGCTGCTTCTCCTTTTATTCACCAACCACCAGTGTAGTCCTCTGTGCAGCCCCTGGCTAGCAGGGCCAATTTTTAGGTTAATTTTTAGGTCTTAATACCACTTGGCAATATCTAATCTGTCTATGCCGTCAGGATCGCTGACAAAGTGTAGCTCCATATGTCTCTTTTGGTGTTTTCATGCAAGTTCTTCTACTAGTTGGAGTTTAGTCCATTTCTATGTCCTTCCCTTCAAGGCTCAGGGGTCCAGGATTATCTTCTGTATGTGTGTTAATTGGTTCCCCTTTTCTTTGTTGAAGAGGGTCTGTGCAGTCTGTCTGCCTATTCCATCATCCTGCCAGAACTCAGTTAATGTCTTTTGAGACAAAGGAGCAGAGCAGATATGGTAGAAAAGGTGTGCCAAGCCACTTGAAGACTGCTAAGAAGTTGAAACTTAAAGAGACAAGGACCTTCCCTCCAGAGCCCACAGAGAGAAAACATCTTCCCTTAGAGCTGGCAATCTGAATTTGGACTTCTAGCCTTCTAAACTCTTGAGAAAATAAATTTCTTTGTTAAAGCCATCCACTTGTGGTAGCTGTGTTACAGCAGCACTAGATAACTAAGACACTGGGCATTTAATGGTAAAACGGCTCCAGGACAGGGAGCAGAACATGATTCAAAGGGCAAGTGTAGTTAATGGAAGTGTTAAGCTGGATAATCCACAGAGAAAAAGAAAGGGAAGAAGGGATTTCAGATCTGGAGAAGAGAATCTGAGAGATTAGCATAAAGAGCCCCTTCAGAGAATAGAAGGGCTGTGTATGCACAGGGAGACAGCTCAGGGGCAGGGGTGCATGGATGGAAGGATACAGGGAAGATGTAACTATGCGGAGGAAGTGGGAGGGAAGCTGTTGCACTGTGGCAAATTGTACTCAATGTCATGAGACAAAGTGTATGTGAGCTGCTGTATGGAAAGTGAATTTGCTCTGTAAACTTTCACTCAAATCACAATTAAATAAATAAAATAACCCCTTCAGCCTTTTAGAGTTTGACTCAAAACTCCTTCCTTAAACACTCTGACAAAGCAAGTTCTAAAGATCATACTACCACCCTCAATAACTGTAGATTCAGACTATTCTGTGCAAATTTACCTTGCTTTGTGGCAGGGGTTAGCAAAGTTTTTCTGTAGAGGGTCAGATAGCAAACATATTAGGCTCTGTGGGCTCTAGAGTCTCTGTCTCAGCCACTCAACTATGTCCTTGTTACCTGAAAGTAGTTGCATACAATATACAAATGTTGTGCTTCAATAAAACGTTATTTATATAAGCAAGCAGTGGGCTGAATTTGGCCTGTGAGCCATAGTTATGGAACAGATATAATCCTGAATTGTTAAGACAACTCCAAATTTGAGAAATCTAATCAGATTGTCAATTGTATAAAAGAACTTATAGCCCATTTATTCACAAGAAATAAGTTTTGTAAAAAGAAAGACATTAAGGAAATAACCATCATGATTTATCTTTTAAGAGCTATTTAGATGGCTGTCATGTAGTAGTACTTGCCAATATGACTTTTATTTATATCTAATTGTTTTAGCATGGGTGTATCATCATTAAGCAAAAATTTCCAAAAAGTTCAACCTAAGTAGGTGTCACTAAGCAAATACCTGTCATCTGACCAAATAAACAGAAAGTGTCCATCCGAAGGAAAAGCCACTCTGGTGGTGAGGGGAATGATGGGCTAACCTGTGTATGGAGCGTGGAAGATGATACCCGTGTGGGCACAAACAAACTGTTCCAAGAGCTTCACGTTCTGTTGGGAAGAAGAAACAGGAGGAGGAAGGGAGAGCAGCAAGACCGTAAGAGACTAAGAGTACACGACTCCTCAACATGCACATGGACTACCTAACCCCTCTACATGTCTTGAAATACTACCCACGTTTTGTTCCATCAACTTGCTGAACCTGTTCTTGAAAACCCCAGCAATCTTTTTCCCTTTCTTGGCCTTTCAACCATTTCATAGGCACATCCCACATTCTGTCACTGAGTCATAGAGAATTCTCATCAGCAGGGGTAAGGCTGTAAAGCCTTTGGGGAAAAAAGTCAGGGATGGTCAAACTTGGAAATCCTTGAAATCACCCAGAAGATACACTATATATAATACTGTACGTGTATAAATGATTAATGTATAGTATATTGTATATAATGTATTGACTAAGAATAACTACAATTTTTATTACATAAAATGACTGCCAACCAGCATGATGCTCTTAGACAGAGATACCTGAGGAAAGTGCAGGTATACTTCCTTGTTCAATGGAATGGCAGGCATAATCACCTATAGTATGCAGTTTGTATTCTCTCTCCTTTGTTCTCTTTTATTACCAATAATATACAGTTCAATTGGGGAAGTAATCTATGTGACTCTTTTCTAACCTATGTGAGAAGGAGTCTAGAGGAGCCAGGTACTCCCATCAGGGGACTAACAACAGATGCCCTTCAACTTTCCTGAAGACCAGACAGTCTGCTTCTACTCCAGTACTTTTACTGCAAGCTCAGAGGAGCACTCTCCTAGTATCAGTTTTATACAATTTTCTAGTTCTTTAGAAAACAATGCCTATTCTTTTCAAAGTATTGAAAGCCTTTAGAAAAAATAGTCTAGTAATAATCTATGCCTTGCTTAATTCATATATCCACCTTCTAGCCCCAACTGTTATGAATTAAATTATGGCTTCTCCCTCCCCCACAAAATATGTTGTAAACCCTAACTTCCACGCCAGTGATTATAATCCCATTTGGGAAGGGGTTGTCTTTGTTATGTAAATGAGGCAGGATTAGTGTGAGGTGTATCCTGGATCAATCTCTTTTGAGATATAAAAAGAGATTAAACAAGTGAGCAGAGAGAGATGCCAAGACACACAGAGATCTTCAAGGAACCACGAAGCAGAAGCTGAAGAATCAAGGCCTTTCCTCTGGAGCCAATAGCGAAAGCCTTCCCCTAGAGGCAGCATTCTGAATTCTAGCCTCCCAAACTGTGAGAAAATAAATGTTTGTTAAAGCCATCAACTTGGGTTGTCTTTTGTAGTAGCACTAGATAACTAAGACACTAGTAAACAATGACATGGTAACAAAACAAAACAAAAAACCTCATAGAAAATTAGTTCAATATATGGTAATAATTGTGATGGATAAAAATGAACCTTTTGGGTATTGTTTTCTATTACAAATAGGCATTTCTCTTACCTACCAATTTACACTGTGAAGTTCATAGAAAAGGGATGAAACATTTTAGCACAATCCACACAAAGTAGAGGCAGAAAGGCTGGAGGAATGGAGGTGTTTATATCACCAGAAACAGAAAACTGGCTGCAAGGGTGCTGAGCTATGAAGAAGTGTGGGGCACCTATGGTAATCTCTTTAACATTACAAAAAACCAAACCCATTGCCATCAAGTCCATCCTGACTCATAGTGACCCTATAGGACAGGGAAGCGTAGAACTGTCCTACAGGGTTTCCAAGGCTGTGAATCTTTACAGAAGCAGACTGTCACATCTTCCTCTACGGACTGGCTAGTGGGTTTGAACTGCTGACCTTTTGATTAGCAGCTGAGTGCTTTAACCACTGTGCTAACGGGGCTCCTTTTAACGTTTCAAAGAGTCTCCAAATCCTTATCCTGAAAGAAAGATCTCTGGATTGTTCTTACCCTAAAATCAACGTGCAACTTGTGATCCCGGCAGATGGGGCAAGGGTTCCCAGCAACTTTATTCCCACGCTGTAGAGAGAGGAAATTGGCAGGTGAGGACATCCAAAGCCCAGTCAGAAAAAATGCTGCTGCCACTGCCACCATGGCCTCTACCCGCATTCCATGTCCCACTCACATGCCACCCTCAGAAACTCACAATACACATCTTTCGAGTTCGCTGAGAGGGCACGCCACCTTTGTGGTTGCGACGGTAGTCAGCCCAGACAGGGCGAGAACCATAGCGATTCTGGTATTCTGAAACAGGAATAGCACAAGTTATTGCTGGGTAGAAAAGGGGCGAGGTCTCTGTGTACTTATCTCAGACCCCACCTGATCCTCCCTTCCCCATTTAGAGATACCTTCTGAATCCAGATATTTCCAGGGTTCATCTTCATAAGGAGAAATGGGAGCTGAGGGCAAAGAATCTTCCTCAGGAGAGGTTTTGGTGCAAAGAGCCTGTAGGGAAACCTATGAAGGTGGGAAATATGAGAACATAAGTTCAAGGCCAGATTCTATTATTTTGCTTCCAACATTGTAGAAAAGAAGTGGATGCCCACTATGTTAACTCAATATAGTAGAAAAATACATGTTGTTGTTGTTATATTCCGCGAAGTCAGACCCAACTCATGGTGACCCCTCCTTGGGTTTCTGAGGTGGTATCACTATGGAAGTAGACTGCCCAACCTTCCTTCCAAGGAGTGGCTGGTGGGTTTGAACTGCCAGCCTTCTGGTTAGCAGTCAAATGCTTTAGGCACTATGCTACCAGAGCTCCTAAAATATACATGGAAAGTAGTATTTTTGTTGGGAATAAACTGGCACAACCAACAACTGATTTCCCTATCTCCAACTGGATCCTGACAGAAACTAATGTTAGAAGTAGGACAGGTACCTGGGAGGAAATCTGAGAAGATGCTCCAAAAACCTGACACATATAAGATATTCAACACTTGCTGGGAAACCAGTGGAGTCTATCGGAGGAAGAAGGAAGAGTAGAATGTTTAGGCTTTTGGAAGTAAGATGCCTGATGGGGGGATGCACAGGACAGGTGAATTCCCAACTCAATTCAACTCTGAGTCATTGAGTTGCCCAGCCTCATAAAAAGTTGAAGGTCAACATCCTATAGCCAAGAAGAGTCCTAACGCTAGCATTAAAACTACCAGGCCTGTTATTAATTCCATGGTGACACCCTTCTCTCCATTCTTCAGTTCCACTTAAGGGAGTGGACCTGGGCAAGCTTTTCTATCTGACCCTGCCCCACCAAGAACCTGCCCTGCCCTTCAAGAACCTCCACGGTGGTGAGTACGTGAGGTTGGGGGAAAAAAAAAAAAAAAAAAACTTCAATCCAAAAGCCTAAGTTAAACTTTCAGATGATTTAATGAGACAGGGTTGGGCACATATTCACCCAAGTTGTGAGGAGGTATCATAATTTTACTGGGGAAATGAAAGGGCTAGAAGAAGATAGGGTCCAAGGTCACGCCACCCATCACTGACACGTATGTAGGTGGTTGTGCAGAAAGGTCAGTTCCAACATCTAGCCATTGACGTGAAACGAAAATTTGGGAAGATGATCTCTAACCTTAGTAGTTTGCCTCGGCTTGGGATTGGAAAATGCGCCCAATATTGCAGTGGATGACAAAAGGAAAATGTTGCCTGGACCGCTAAGACACGAGCACATGGGAAAGTCTGCACCTCAACCTCCCAAATTTCCAGCAGTGGATTGAGGACCTAAAGAAAGTATAACCAAGTTAGGATTGTACAAAACGTGCTCCGAGGAGTTACCTGAACTCCGTAGGCACTTCTCAAGGTCGAAAAGCTAGGAAGCTGCCTTTGCAGCACGTTCAACACGGAGGCCGCCATCTTGACGTACGACCAACACAAAAATTCCCGGAAAGGCGAGTGCGCATACTCCAAGATCCTGACTAGTTAACGCCAAGGAGGAACCCGCAGTGCGGAAGCCGGCCCCGCGCTTGCGTGAGGACGGAAGCGTAAAAGGAGGGGCCACGAGGGAAGCTAATTTCAACTGCGTCACAGTCCATTTCGGCCTCAAAATTGCGCTTTCTCTAAACCAATCACTGCGACTTCTAGATCTTATACTTAGACCTTGCTTTTTAAGCAGTTTCGAAGGCGATTTTTGGCCAGAATCTTTTCAGTGCGCATGCGCCAAGTCAGTTCTACCAACCCAGGGTGAGAAATGTTCGGGAGGGGCGGAAGTGGTGGAAGCCGAGGAGGAAGGCGGTGCTAGGCTCTCCAGTCACGCGCTCGCGGGGGCAGCTAGAAGGAGGCGGAAGACAGAGCCAGGGGGAAGGGGCTGAGCGAAGGCCAAGGAAGGCTAGCCATTCAGCTGGCGAGTTGTCGTTCGGGTTGGCCAATGAGTTCACGCCTCGCGCACAATGTCTCGCGACAAGGGCGTTTCGCTAGCACGTTTGGGCGCGTTGGGCGGTGTCCCGGTATAAAAGACTCCGCCCGAGCGGGCAGCCGCCATTCTGAGGTCGTTTAAAGGTAAGTTTCGCATATTTGTTGGTTGGTGGGTAAAGTTTTGCGGAGAGCGTTATATTAGAGAATTGGAGGTAGCCGTGGGTTCAGTTAAAAGAAACAAGTTTTTCTAAAGCGGCTGCATTGGGGTTGGTACGTGGAGGTGTGTTTTGGGAAGACAAATATGATACTTCTGGGTGTTTTCAAAGCAACCCGTACTGATTACATCTTTCTCCTTTGTGTTCTTTCATCCCAGGTTTGAATTTTCTCGGAGAAAGACAGGCCGGCCACGAGGAAAAAAGAAACAAGCCGCAGCAACATCTAAGCCCTTGAAAGGATCCTGAGAGGGGGGAAAGGGAAAACAGCAGCCACCAGCCCAACCACTTGTGTCTTCTGCCCCCTCCCACCTATCTTGCCCCCCCCACCAGCCCACGCTGCTTGGGACTTGAAATCTGTGGCCGAAGGACTGTCACCACATAACTGCAAAAATAATCAACCACCCTCCCTTGCCAAACCCACCCAAATTCACTCATCCAGCGTTTAATTTTTTTTGAATCCACTCAGAATTTTTTCTACGGCCCCCCCCTCCCTAAATGGAGTTGGGTGGGGGGGAAGTGAATACTGAGTTGGCCTTTGTTTTTTAAGACTTTTTGATCCAATGAGGCCCCCCAAATGAGTTTTGGGTCCTGGTTGGTTGGTTTTTTCTCCAAAATTTTAATACCCTTCCCCCTGAGCCCGAGGTGCTGACGTCGCAAAAAAATTGGATAGTAAGTGTCGAATTTTCAAAAACCAGCCTTGCAACAAGAAATCAACGTTTCCCGTTGTGAAACCAAAAATAATGAGAGGAAGAAATGAGATCATAGAACAAATAGAGAACTGGAGAAGGACCAATCCGGTCACTTAATCTCCATTAAAAAGGGCCTTTGGGTCTAAAAACAGTCTTGTTTTCTCTCCCGTACCACCTACCTCTTCCCTGCCCAGCTGCAGGCAAGGAGAGGGTGGAGGGAGGGCCAGCAAGTGAGGATTTTGACGGTTAACCCTTGGTAATCCAGCCAATTTCCAGACTGCCTAAACCATAAGTGTATGCTTTTTATAAAGAGGAATGGCTACCTTCCTCTCTTCAACCGCAGTCTTCAAAAGGGTTAATGAGCTCACATACAAAAGATGGTGGATCTTGTGGCCCAAAAGTCCCACTTCTTTGTGTGTGAGACAAGCAGGGGCGCCTTTCAATTTGCCAGATTAATAAGCAATCTGTACATAAAGATTGCAGGGTAAGGAGATGGGCAGAAAAATAATAGCTGGCTATGACTTTTTAAATGATTGTTAAATCCTCTCAATTTTAATGTAATTTGCTTGGGATATATTTGTATGGTTAAAATAGGTGGCAATCTAGGAATAAAGATTGCAAGACACGTAAATTTAGGACAAAATATAATATTAGTGCCAATACATAACAATATAATAGTTGGGGAAAGTAAAAAATGTCTTGTAATTGTTGCAGTTTGCATAGGTTATTTAAAAGCAAATGATTAACATTTTAACTTGATATATTTTGAAAGGGGTGTACAGTTAAATAGAGGGTGGAAAGGTTGGGAAATGTGGAATTCAGGAGTATAATTTTAAAAGCCATTTAGTGCAATTGAATGCTAGCTTTCTAAAAGATTTGTGTCGTTAAAAGCAATTTTTTTCTTCCCTGCTTCAATATGGCGACTTTTCCTTGTCCTTTTGTCTCTTCCAAGCGGCGTTGCAGATTGTGTCTTGACCCATTTTTCTCCTGTCCTCCCACCTCAACCCTATTTGTTGAGAGGGGTCCAAGTCCTCCCCCTTTCTCTTTATAGGGAGGAAGGGGGTGGTCGGCGGTGGTAGGTTGAACCTCAGTTGCAAATTCAATTCTCCCAGAAAATTGTTCTTTTTAATACTACTTTAATTGTTTTTATTTTCACAACGCTCTTACTCAAAAAATAGGTCAAAGATTATTCAGCATGGAGAGCTGCTTTTTATTTTTCGCTTTTTTTTTTTTTTAATCGAACAGGGTATGTATAATGTAATTGTAGCTGCCGGCAAAACGGGAGTAGCTTTTTAGATTTGAGTTCTCTTCTCCATTACAAGATGGCGTCCCTGCTTCTTTGTTGTTTTTCTTCCCCTTTGCCATCCAGAGCTTAGGGCCGCCCTAGAAACTTGATCAAGGGGGAGGAGCAGCACTGAAAGGTGATGTAATCAGCTTTCTTCCTCCACTCCCCACCCTCTTGAAACTCCACCCCTCAGTAGATGCCTTCTGGACTCTGAGCAGGCTGCTGCTGGGGAGAAGACGAGAAGAAATTGTCCTTATTTTCTTTAGCTGTAATCTTTTATACCCTTTATCTTAAGGGGAAAAAAAAAAATTAGGTCTTGAAGCTGTCCGTTTCCTTGGTCAGCTGTAGTTTTTATTTAACGATCAGAACCCATTGCTTTTATGTTCACCTTTCACTCATCACAACTGCTTGGAAGTTTTGCCCACCTCAGTTGCCAGTCAAACTTCAACTGTACTTTAAGACTTGGAGGCTCTTGGGAGAGTGTGTGTGATTGTGTGTGTTTGTGTGTTTGGGTATACTGGGAAAAGACATAAGGGCTGGAGAAAGACTGACTTGAGTAGACAGATAGGGCCTGATGACTCCAGAATGTGCCCTTTCTGCTCAGGAACCAGTCCTTGGCCCTCCTGCATTTGATCGTTTTGTGGAATGAGAATATGAGGGAGAGTGGGTACTTAGGACTTTCTTCTAAATCACCTTTATTCCCACCTCTCAGTCTGGGGGGTAAGCTCTTTGTGTTCAGTGCTGTATCACGTTCTCCAGTTGCTTAGCTCCTCTACATTGGTACTAGGATGAGAAGTGAATCTTTAGGAAAAGAGGCGGCAGTTGTAAACTCAAGGCAGGGGGAATCAAGCTACGGTTTCTGGTAAGCGAAACGTTTCTGGTATTACATTTCACAATCTTCATTTCTTTTTAACAAGGAGCCACTTTTTTTTTTTTTATTTTTTCTCCCTTTCTAAAAAAAATTCCTTAAACATTGATGACAAATAATATCCTCTCCATTTTAATTCCTGTAGCAGTTGGTGCATGTTCAAAAATCATGCCCTATCTGAAGGTGGTAGTCGGTGTCCTATCCCTTTCTTTCTTCCTCACTTTTTCAAAGTCACAAATCTTTCTCAGAATCTCCAAATAATTTTTATTTTATTAAATACCTGCATTGAGAGATGGAAATTCTAGGCAGAACTGGAAGGCCATTTTGTACAACTGTCCTGAGGAGACTTGGGCTGATTTTCTATTTGGGAGCAACTCTTCCACATGTCTATTGACCACAAGGTTTTTTTTTTTTTTTTCTTTTAAGCAGTTTGCCATGTGTTTCTGCAACTTCCCTTCCTTGGGAGCTGAACAGTCCACCCACTGTGGTTCCTGTTCTCTAGTGAGCAGGGGATTAATAAAGATGATCTTCCTTAATATGGGAGATGGGAAACAAGAAGGTCTACTAGGGAAATCAGATCCATCTAGAGCATTTGGAGAAGCTGATCCCTGTAGTTGTGTTCAGAGTTCTAGTCTGGAATCCTTCCTTTCCTATGAGAAGGGGAGGGAGTGACTTTGGATTCCTTATTGAAAGACATAAATAGGGAGGTCATGTACCAGGTTTACAAAATGACTGATGAGGACTTACTACTTAGAAGAGAGGTATGACCTTGTGAATTGACTGAGACATAATTCAGTCACTACTGAGGCATACTAGGATATGCGAAGGAATATAAGGGGCTGATTACAAAGCATTTTCATTTCCAGAAGTACCAAGACCCCTCTTAGAGCAAGGCAAGATTCCTTTCCCACCTTTTTTTTTTCTTAGAAGATAGTTGTGATCTGTTTTTCAAGGACTCTGACTTGCATAGAATATTTCTCCTAGACCAATTTCGCTGATGATTTCACGCCATTTAATTGTAATAACCCTCAAAAGCCATTCTGGAGGCTGAAATCAGTATCACTTTCTGGACTTTTTAATCTTTGCTGAGAACTGTAGGAAATTCCCCAGTGCCTCTGACAGTTGTGCATATCTGCTTGCATAAGGAAAGCTCAGCTCAGGACAAGGTGAAAAAAAGGTCAGGGGGTTGCCTCTTCCCCCCCTGCCATCTGTATGGTCTGCCTTCAAGAAAATTAGCAGCACACTAAAAACATGTCTTGGATTATTTTTGTTTTTGGAAGACTGCCTCAAAGCTATCATTCTAGGCTCTAGGTCATGAGTATATAATGTGTGACACTTGGTCACTGCCCCTGCCTTCTCTGGTCAAGTCTATGCATTTCTTTACTCAAAGGCCTGTGTCAGGAATGTTAGGCTGTCATTCCTTTCCATTTGAATGTCTTGAAGAT